GATCCGCTGATGAAGGCGACGTGAGGACCCGAGCCGCGGGCGAAGACGGCGTGATGGGCCGAGCCACGGGCGACTCGGCGACCGCTGGCGAAAAAGGCCGAGCCGCTGGAGACTCGGCGATCACTGGCGTAGCAGACCGAGCAGTGGAGATGCTCGGCGCGACGGGCTCGTCGGGTGACCATGCATGGGCACGCGAATCGATGCCATGCAACAGAGGGCGATCGACATGCCCACCAGAAGACGACGATGATGATGGTGAATCCTCCAACAGCTCCAAACGAGCTCCACGTCCGGTTCCTGCACCATGGTTAGGTAACAGCAAAGGAGAGTATGCAACATCATCAAATTGGTCAGAAGCAACAGAGGATGAATGCAGGGATGGTGGTTCGACAGTGGACACAGGAAGGTTGGCAAAGGGGAAAACATGCTCATCAAACACGACGTCCCGAGATATATAGACACGATTAGTGGGAACATGAAGACATTTGTAACCTTTATGAAGAGAGCTATAGCCAAGGAAAACACACTTCTTAGAACGAAACTCAAGCTTGCGCTTGTTATATGGACGAAGATGCGGCCAGCAAGCACACCCAAATACCTTGAGAAAGGTATAATCAGGTTGTTCATTAAGGAGAACCTCAATGGGAGTCTTCATGTTTAAAACACGAGTAGGAGTACGATTGATGAGAAAGCATGCAGTGGTGAAAGCATCACTCCAAAACCGAAACGGAACAGATGCATGGGCCAAAAGAGTAAGACCAGCTTCAACAATATGACGATTCTTACGTTCGACTGAATCATTCTGCTGATGTGTATGTGGACATGCTAAACGATGAGCTATCCCAAGCGACTGAAAGAAGGAGTTGAGGTTGCGATACTCGCCCCCCCCCCAGTCCGACTGGACATGAACAATTTTGTGCTTGAGAAGACGTTCAACATGTTTTTGAAACTGAACAAAAATATCAAACACATCAGATTTGCGTTTAATAAGGTAAAGCCAGGTAAAGCGACTATAAGCATCAACGAAACTGATATAGTAATTATGACCACTGACAGAAGTCTGAGCAGGACCCCATACATCTGAAAACACAAGTTCTAACGGATGTTTCACCTCACGACTGGACTCCGAAAAAGGAAGTTGATGACTCTTCCCCTGCTGACAAGCATCACACACTGCTACATCTTTATTACTAGACAAACTAGGAAGCTCATGACGACGCAAAATATGACGGACAATAGGTGTGGCCGGGTGACCAAGACGAGCATGCCACTATGACGGAGAGACCCGAACTCCACTGAAAACGCGAGCGACGCCAGGATGCTCCAGACGGTAGAGGCCCTGGCACAACCGCCCACTAAGAAGAATGTCCCTCGTGCCCCGATCCTTAATAAAAAGATCAAAAGGGTGAAATTCACAAAGCACATTATTATCACGTGTGAGTTTAGGAACTGAAAGAAGATTGCGGGTCACAGATGGAACGCGAAGAACATTGCGAAGCTGAAGACTCCTATTGGCATGTCTAGTGAGAAGAGATGCTTGACCAATATGAGAGATGTGCATACCTGCTCCATTGGCGGTGTGGATCTTGTCGGAGCCATGATAGGGTTCACGAGTGTGAAGCTTCCCCATCTCGCTGGTCAGATGCTCTGTCGCCCCAGAGTCCATGTACCAGTGTGGATCGATGGAGTAGGACTGAGTGTGTCCCTGGTGCTTCTGCGGTGCGGGACGATCAGCCATGGCGACCTGACGGGCATTGTTGCGTGTATCTTTACCGTCATTGCCAAGACCAAGGAAGCTTCGCTGGAAGCGCTTATGACACTTGGAGGCCCAGTGCCCATCGCGGCCACAAAGCTAACACACACGTGGACCGCCAGCCCCCGGTAAGGTCGCAGTAGGTGGGGGGGCCGAGGCGGGCGAGGGTGGCAGCCCCAAGGGAGACCGGGGTGATGAAGAAGAGCGGCCACCCTTGGTGGCGACGTTGGCCGAGAGAGAGCCAGTGCCCTGGTGCGGCGAGTCTCGACCCGTTGCTCAGTGAGAAGAAGCCGAGAGAAAACCTCGTGTGCCAACATGGGTGTCGAGTTACCCCGCTCGTTGATGATCTCGACTAAGGCATCATACTCCTCATCAAGACCATTGACAATAAACGAGTTGAACTCGGAGTCGGTGAGGGGCTGTCCAATGGAGGCCAATGTGTCGGCAAGGCCCTTGACCTTGTTGTAGAACTCAGTGGCCGTAGAGTCAAGCTTCTGACACTCTCCAAGCTGACGACGGAGTGCAGAGACACGAGCCTGGGACTGCGCTGCAAAGGTGCGCTCAAGGATGGTCCAGGCCTCATGAGACGTCTTCGCGAAGACAACAAGGCCGGCAACTGCCGGCGAGAGCGACCCCTGGATGGAGGAGAGGTTCGCCTGGTCCTGCCCCGTCCAGACGCGATGGGCCGGATTGTAGACCGGACCGTGCACGCTGTCTACCAGCGCGGGTGGGCAGGGAAGCGATCCGTCGACGTAGCCTAGCAGGTAGTGACTCCCCAAGAGCGGGAGAACCTGCGCACGCCAGAAGATGTAGTTGTCTGCGGAGAGCTTGATGGTGATGAGATGACCGAAGTGAAACGGCGGCGGCGAAGACGATCCCATCGAGGAGGCTGCCTGGGGTGCAAACACCATGGAGGCAGCCGGAGGCACCGAAGCCGATGCAGGAGGAGGCGGGACCGCAGCCAGGGCGGGCGCCGCAAAGCTCGCGGCCGGTGCGGACGCCGCAAGGCCCGCGGCCGGGGCGGACGCCGCCAACCCCGCCAGCGGGGCGGTGTGATCCGCTCGCGGCAGGAGCGGCGGGACGACGCCTGCGGAATCCGCAGCGGACGGCGGCGCCGCGGTGTGGACCACGAGGTCACGCCCGAGCGAGGGCGCCGGCGGCGTGGAGAAGACGGAGCCGATGCTCCTTGTCCCGATCGGAGCCGGAACGGAGACGGCATCGAGCGGGAGGTTGAGCAGAGCCGCAAGAGAGGCCGGGAGGAAGCCCGCAGCAGTGGAACCGGTGGTGGCGGCGCTCGACATGGCGGCGGCGCGATCGGTGGCGCGGCGGCGGCGGTGAAGGCGGCGGCGAAGGCGGCGGCGGCTGCGGCGGCGGTGCGGGTATTAGGGTTTAGAAGCGGAAGCGATCGTAACCTAGCGTGATACCATGTAAGACAATAAGTTTTGGGAACCAGCACAATCCTTTAGGAGTGACTTATCTCATTATATATAATGATTGTGTTACAATACGTACATAGGTACAGAAGTTATACATAGTCTAACAACGAGTACCCTTCCGAAGGAGGTTCTAAAACGACTCCTCAGTCGCTGGGTTCACGGTCTTCTCACGCGCTGCCGCAAGCCTGCAAACCGGCGGCCATGGCTCGCAGAATACGGCGCGACACCGGCGAGTGGTTTCCCAGGCAGAAACTAATAACTATGGCCGTGCCCACCGGTTCAGCACCTCCCCGGCTCCCGATAAATTCCGGCCGGTCGCACGAGCCGCTCCAGGCCTGCAGCTTCTCCACGCCCCAAGAGAAGAGATACCATCAAAAAGAGAGAACTTCAGCAGGAGATCCAGGCGCGCGTGAAGGCTTTCATTTTTGCTGTGCTGCCCGTCAGCCATGGACGTGTACATTTCAGAGGAGTACGTGATCCAGCGGCGCGCCGAGAAGAGGGCGGCGGCTCGGAGGGCGGCCACTGCCGACGGCGTCAAGGAGGAGGCCGGGAGGAGCCGGTGGACGGCGTCGTGGGCGGACGCTGCGCAGAAGAAGGGCAATGCAGATGCCAGCGCCAACGCCATTGCCAATGCAGCTGAGTGGAGCTCAAGGAGCGGCGATGAGGTCATTCTTGCCTATTTATCGGCGTAGGTGTCGTAGTCCGGTTGCCTCTGTTGCCAATGGCCAAGATGGTCCACCAGTAGATCACCAGATTTTGTGCTCAGCACTTGCTGAATCGGCAAAATTTGCCTGGCCGTAATTAGCCGAGCCATTTGTACATTGTATGACTGGGCAAAAGGCTCAGTTCACTTCAGGGTCAAATTCTTTGCATTCATTCCTCAGAGAGCGTCCCAGAATCTTCTGCTCTTCCGGTTGCGTGTGTTGCCAATGACCAAATGGTCCATGAGTAGGTACATCAGTAGTTCACTAGATTTTGTAGCCACCACTTGCCGAATCGGCAGATTTCCCTTGCTCGTAATTAATTTGCTGAGCCATTTGGACATGTTTTATAGGACAAACGGTTCAGTTCACTTCAGGGTGAGCTTCTTTGTAGTCATTTCTCAGAGAGCGTCGAAGGATCTTCTGCTCATCCTGTCACTCAACCCACATCTATCTAGAAATCTACAGTCCCTGTTGCAGTTGGTCATCAAAAGGGTAAAATTTCAAATACCCTGGTCCCGAATCTGAACTAGATTGCAGGGACTCAAGTAACTCTATTGGTAAACTAGACAGCAAAATTGCATTCAGTGGTTCTGAATCTGAACTAGATTGCAGAAAACAGTGCAACATAAGTGAGAAAGTTATTGCATGTACTTCAAACATACAAATGATGGAACAAAATTGAGCAGACCGGTCAGGCAATGGCCAGATGGTACATAAGTAGGTTTTGTGGCCAGCACTCAGCACTTGCTGAATCAGCAGATTTGCCTAGCTGTAAATTACTGAGCCCTTTTGTACATTGTTTGGTTGGGCAAAAGGTTCGATTCAGGGTGAAATTCTTTGCGGTCATTTTTACAGATAGCATCAAGAAGGATTTCTCATCTTACTTGTCACCAAGACGGCAAAATTTCACATTTCATGGTTCTGAACCTGAACTAGATTGCAGCAACTAAAGAAAATCTACTGGTAAACAAGACGGCAAAATTTCACATTCTGCAATCCTGAATCGGAACTAGTTTGCAGAAAACAGTGTAAAAGAAGATGAAATGTTATTGCCTGTGCTTCAAATATACAAAATGATGGAACAAAATCGAGCAGCCGGGTCAGGAGTCAGGACTTGCGCACCGATGAATACCCAAGCCTGTGCTCACTCTGCGCAGGAGCAGTGACATACAGCACGACAGATGCGCCCAGTAGTAAGACAACAAGGGCAGTGAAGTTTACCAGCAGGGCTTCTGAGCTGTATTTGCCCAGACCCGTGGCCTGAAGGAAAGTGAGCTTCTCCAGGAACCCCAGCTCGGCCGCGAGCAGCGCCAGCACGTAGACCACGAGCCCAGCACGAACATGCCATGGGAGCACGGCACGTCGGAGTGTCGGCGAAGCGCCGGGAAAGAAGAAGGTGAGAAAGCCAGATACCCACTGAAAGATGGCATCAGAACATTAAGGTTTCAGGTAATAATACACAAACAAAGCTGAAACTAGTTATTTTCAAACAGTTATCTTGATTATATACCACAAACATAACCACCATTTCTGAAGAAGAATAACGACTGGGGATTTGATCAACATGAGGACGTGTATGTTTAAAAATTAATTTATTGATGCTTCAGAATGATCTCATCTTGTAAGAGTGAATCACGTCTGACACAATTAACACATATCGCCAATCTATAGCTGTGAGGACACTTAGCTGGCTTATGGATATAAGTAGGACAATATACTTGCATAATTGATACCCCAATGTCACTAATGGGGATTAACCTTGTCAGCAGATGGTTTAAAGAAACAGAACCCGTCTGAGAAATTTTAGTATGAATTGCCCTAAGATCCTCCATTAGTTGGGAAGTATCCTTCATCATGTCAAACACCGTGGGAGCTCTGTTCTAGTGCTTATTGCTTTGGTTATCGTCAAAGAAAATATTCTCTTCTTTTTTAGGGAAAGAATTCCCTCTACAGATGGAGCACAGCATCACAGATTTCAAAGCTTCAAATTCACTGAGCAATTCGGTGTCTCCCATGGTGCCGGCTCATAGTGGAGAACTCCTTGGAGAACTAACACTACTGTGTTACTAGAATTTACAGATGCAACAAATAAATGCAAATAACTTTTTTTTTGGAACAATCCAAATAACTACGGTTATTCAAATTCCAAGATTCACAGAATATGGAATCACCAAATGCTAATGGCTCATGCGGATTACCTGTAAACCATACAAAATGATAGTGCCAAGTCCAACCCAGGAGTGTAAGCTGTATAGATTAGCGATTCCACTTTCATTGTGAAACTTGAAGGCAGCATATACCCCGAACGATCCCAGAAAAAGCGCAACGGCATGAAGAATCAAATGGACCGTCTTATTTGTGTCATGGCTCCATGGCAATGTTTTGTAGCTCATTATGGCTGCAGAAAAACTACAAGTAGCTTGATCAGACATGTTTAATCCTCCTCATCACGGAAAACCCATCAAGGAAGAGAAGAGAACCTAACCTTCACTCCCAATGATGATGAATCCGATCAGCATAAGGACAGGATGAACCTGCATAGCAGTGAGCTTATAACATTATGAATTTTCACGTAAACAACGCTATGAATTTGAGCACAACCAAAATTCCCTTGACTGAGCTTATAACATTAGCCATTAGGAAATTGCTTTTGCTCAAAATAGGGAACACTATATCAATCCCAACCCACCTTTTATGGGCATGGCCCTTAGAATGCACTTATGTGCCGGTATTACATTTACACGGAATTACATGTGCTCTTCTTCCAACAGTAAATGCATATGGTTTATTTCCATACGGACAAAAAAGGGCAAGCATTGGATCATCAAGTTTCATGACTAGATCCAGGTAAGACGAGAACGGGCTAGCACGCTACAGTATTGCGACCAAAAACAGAGGACGCCACCATTAACCTCCACGCATGTGCCATTAACCAGGCTCAAGCGGTGCCTACGCAGGCGAAGGCATGAATTTCACAGCAATTAAAGATCCCACCTAACCAAGGACCGGATGAAATGCCGTATCCACCAGTGATCCATCAACGGAGAGCTAGGGAGAAGCGGAGGCTGTTGGTTCTTACGTACGTTAAAGATGAGCCCCTTGTTGGTGGGGGAGCTGAGGGCGAGGCCGCCGCGGAAGTGGACGCACCACAGCAGCACGAGCGCCGCCGCCGTGGCTGCGAGCGCGCGCGCCGCCTTGGCCGGCGCCGGCACGGCCATCTCGTCAGGCGACGGAGAGGACAAACTCTTCCCTTTGTAAAGTCAAACTCCTTGCTGTCCAGTCCATGAGCGTGTTGGGGTCTGGTTGGTAGGCAGGGCTTGGGCAAAAACGACACTTTCTGTAATTGGGCCTCAAGCAGAATGGGCCGAATAGATCCAGTTAATTCTGTTAATGTGTGTTTAGCTAGGCCTCTTTTCGGTTTCTCAAAAACAAAAGTTAGGCCTCTTTTCGATCCTACTGCTGTTCTTTTTTCTTCGGATCAGAAAGGTGTGGTGTCTTACACTTCTCAAAAAGGAAAAGAAAAACAAAGGCGCGGTGTATTTACCCAATAAAAAATAAGTGTAATATATCCTAAAAATGCAGGTATTATGTTTCAGTTTACTTGGGGGGAAAGGGTGTTATCTGTTACTATTTCAGTTCATTTTTTATTTTATTTTGCCGGAGATTTTCAGTTGATTTGAACCAACGATTCGATTCTGAAAAGTAGATGTTCGGAATGCGCCGTTTGTCGAAGCAGTTCATCGTATATTGTGAGTCTTGTGACATGGCATTGTGTGCTGCCGATATGAACTCTGAGGTGCCCGGAAGAAAAAACTCTGAGGCAGTCACCGTCTAGCAGCAGAGCCAGAAAGGAAAATCGTCCAGTACAACCAACCGAGGCCGGCCCCCGTAGCTTTCCTTGAGCAGAGAAAACCACACCTGAACGTACGCCGAAAAGACGAACTGACGAGGACGGCACGTACACCGTACTCATCACAGATTCTGCGGCACACGGAAAAAGTCGCACTTCAACGAACGGCGAACTGCTACGGACGCGCTGGACAGCACAGGAACAGACCGATAATCCGTGGAAGGTAGTACGTATATAGAACTGGACAAGCCGGTAGAGTCTGACGACAGTGGGTGCGGTGGTCGCGAGATCGAGATCGCGCCCGCCAGCGAGGCGGCACCCACCTAACCTTGGAGCTACCCCGACCAGCCGGACGCGCACGCCCGAGAATTCCTGAATGCGACCATGTACGCGCGCGGCGTCGCCTTTTCTCCGAATTAGTTTGCTGTTTTCGCTGGCTCCTGCCATGCCTTCAAAGTTCAGTCTCGTGCACCGCACGTACCTGCTCACTGTTTTTCTACTGTAAACTTGCTGGTGAAGTACTCTTACTGCTCACTCTGTAGCAACTGATGGGCTGGCCTGGCTCTACTCATTGATTCAAGCACGGCCCTGCTTTCAATTCCCTCGCGGGCACTGCTTCCGCATTTCAGTACCTAGCTTCGGTCTGCAGCTATCCTTTAACTCAACCTGTGTACAGTACGTACGTTGGCCCTACGCCTTATTAACCTTCTGAGCCAGGCACAAGCCCCGGGTGCAGGAAATTCTGCTGCCCCGGCAACCCCCTTTCCATCTGGAAGCATTCAGAACTTGTGATCTCGCATTCTGCGTGCAGTTAACTGGCCCCTGCGCACTGCAGACCAAATGTTCTCTGACGATGTAAAGCGATCTACGTACTATTTACTTCGCGGTACATCTTGGAAAACTCCCGACGGCGTTGATATCCTTCTGTTCTTGCCCGGATCCATGCGAAACTCCGGCAGCAAAGTGCCCGCATGCTCTTTTGCCTCCGTTTCGAAAGAAAAAAAAAGTGCCCGCATGCACGAGTGTCTTCTTCACTTCTTCTCCGACCTTGAAGGCAAGCTCACAGCTCAACTGCTCAGCATAAAGCAGGATGTGCGAAAGGCTTTGTTGCCATGGCATCTTTTTTTATCTGGAACACCTTGCATTCCAATTACGGGGGACCGACTATATCGGCGGTCACAGCACGCATTACATCGACCGGGAAGTCCGACAGCCACATACGTATGCTGCTCGGATTACCACTCGAACCAAGGGCCGCCAACAAATGTGCTGGCCTATTACATGACCGAGGACAGTGCATTACTTGGTACTGGATAAAGCCTAGCCGTAACAGAAATTTTGCTTCACAGAAGAGAACTCCCAGTGGGCCACGGTCCTGCCCGGAGGAAGACACAGCTTGCTGCAGGGTCATGCAATCCGTCTCAAACACTACGCGTCCCATGCCCTGTGCTTCAGCGAGCTTGATAGCATGGATTAGGGCCTCCGCCTCCGCCTGCAGCGCTGAACTTTGGTGAACCAGCTTCCCCGCTGCAGCTAGAAGAACCCCGCCCTCCGTGTCCCGTGCAATCGCTCCCCATCCACCCTCCCCTGTCGCAGGGTTAAGAGCTGCATCAAGGTTTATTTTTATGAACCCCACCCGCCATGGCATCTTTTTGGTTGCTCGCGTGTGAATTTCAAGTCTAGACGTCCATGCAGGCACAACCCATGCATTGATGCATGTTTGCTAGTACTATACGTCTATACCAACTTAGGTTCTGGCTAACTGTGATTTAACAGCTTACTGACAGGCTATAGGTGCTAGAGATAAGTTAGCATCAAGTCTCGTTCACGCGCGGCACTTTGCAGGCAACAAGCAGGAAAATGTCGTTCTCAATCTGAATCCGGGGTCGCCGCCATTGGAAGCAACAGTAACATTTCCTACGAAAAAGGCAGCAGCAGTAACATGCCACCTGCCCACCTTAATACGTGCTGAGCCAAATGAAGGATCGTGTTCACCGTCAGCTTGTGAGAACGGAAGTGTGAAGCATCACTATTATCTCAGTTAAAAAGAACATATGTAGTCATACTAGTATTACAAATACAGCGAAAGAGCAGGCTGGTGAAAGAATGGAAAATGAATGGATCTGGACATAGATCATGCACGCTTTTTCACCGCCCCGGGCCGTGCTCCAGCAAATCCAGCGCCCGGATCGATCTGAATCTGATCCTGCGTAACGGTGATTCCACTTGCAGCAGATCCGGTGTGCAGTCTATACTCGTTTACAGCTAGACAGCTAGTGTCGTCATCCGTGTCCACAAATTTTCAAGGCACGATCAGCGGTTGACTACCGGACTAGTACGCGACACTTCTCTGCACGATGCGTGCATCCAGCTGCTTGCAACTCGATCGCACTACTATACGGCCAACCGGCGGAAATGATGGCGGCCTAGACTCGACCGATGAGACAAGCGCGTACAGGCCGGACCTGTTGCGATCTGAGAAACGAACTCGCCCGAAAAAAGGATCGCATCGGGCGATCAAGGAGGCGACCGGGATCCCTTGCGCGCCGCCGGTGACGCCGCCGGTTCCCTCTCTCTCCGTCGTCCGCTCCGGCGGCGGGAGGGAGGGGGAACCACGGGTCTGTTCGCTAGGTGGGTGTGTGGTAGGGTTAGGGTTGAGGGAGACGCTGCCGAGGCCGTTGCGGTGGTGTCGCGTCGGAATAAGTTTCTTCGGGCTCCGTTCGCAGTCAGGCGAGGCTTTTGCCTTCGTCTAGGAGCCAGCGGTGTTGGGGATCCCCGGATCTCGTCGAGGTCGCGGGCTATGGTGGTTGAAGGTCCATCGGCACTGGCCGTTTGGATCCTCAGATGGGCGATGGATGCAGGGAGACGAAGACCTTTCTTCTTTCTTGTTGGTATGATTTGTTGCTGTTGTTCTTCTCCTTCCTCTGCGCTGATGCTGGTGGGAGATCCTGCTTTGTCCGGGCGGATGGCCCGGCCGCGGTGCTGGACCGGTCGGATGACTCGAGTTCTCTTCCTTTCGGAAGGGACACTTTTCGTGGTACTCAAAGCCAAAGATGGCGACGACTGTTGCAGGTGTGTTGGATTGATGTCCTTGCCCTCTCAGCGCTGGTGTCAAGAAAGGAGGAAGCAGCGTGGCGGCAATTGTACCGTGGTCGAAGATGATGATCTGTTTGCGACTGGTTGCAAATCCTTCTGCTGCAGGGGTCTTCTCTCAAGATTCAGGGATGATGACATAGGGCTCCGGAGATCTTCTTATGTTATGTTTGTCTTAGGGTACTTTAGGTGTTCATGATCCTTTGTGTTTGCGTTTCAGTGTGATTGTAAGAATCAACTACTTTATACTGATTCGTAATTGGAATGAAATTTTCTAAAAAAAAAAGAGACAAGCGCGTACCCGGCCACGAGACACGATCGATCGATGGATCACGCACGCGGAGCATCATCGCGCCCGTCGCACGTCTCGGGGTTTTGATCGTCCGCCTCAGGAAAACGGAGCAAAACTGTGAGGCGAGGTCAGCGCGGTGCCATCACGGGATAACGCTTCGTGCCATCTTCCGTCGATAGAGCAAACAGCCCCGCGGCACCCGGATCACGGCATGGCGACGGGTTTCCGGAGTTCGGCCGTCGAGCGAGCTGAGACTTTTTTTTTCGAAACCGTGGCAAAAGGATTGTTACAATAGTTTGTTACTATATTAATTAAGCAGAGATGAGAGTTTGTTACAATAGTCACTCTTACACGGCATGAAAGATTACTCGCACACAATAATAGACCCTAGTTTCTTTGCTCCGGCAGTGACCCAAAGATTTGTCTTGTTAGTGATTGTAGTGAGCAAGACTGGCGGTGGTGCACTCTTATGCCGGAAGACCCGAGCATTTCTTTCGGTCCATATGGTCCATGACACGAGCATGGTCAGCGAGGCCATTGCTTTTCTGTCGGGACTCCTGCGCCGGTTCGATTTGTCCACCAATTCTTGACGAAACCATCCAGATGCCACAAGGAGGTGTACAATTGTTCTAGACGGAATTTCTCAGTGACCATCTTCCAAAGCCGTATGGAATAGCGACACTTGAAGAAGAGACGTGGCCCACACTCTTGCTCCCTGAGCGAGCTGAGACTTGGCGTAGTACTTGAAGAGGGCACATTAAGCACATGAATTGAGTGCCACGCGTCACCTAAGATCCAGGCGTGCTCGGACCCTCAGGAATTGAGCGGCCACTGTAGCCGTATCTGCCGCGTGGCCTGGCTAGCAGTAGGCAGTAGCAGAGCCCTTCCGTTGCATTGCACTGTGCCGATCGACCAGCGTTTGATGCATGAACAGTGGGAGAGCTCCCGCAGAGCTGGAGCGTGGCATCAATTAGCTGACAGCT